CAGGCTGTGTAAACTTATTTGTTGCCGCTTGCTTTGAACACGCAGGTGTCATACGAGGTTACATGCGTTAATTTTGTTTTCGAGTTTTTCCGTGAAGTGTCTCGTTTCAATAGCGCAAAGTACATTGGGTGAGAACCCATGACAACAGTGTTCGATAGAAGTGCGAAAATGATTAGGCTCACTAACATCTATGACAAGCTTGATGAATCGTTTTCTAATCACTACCTCGTAAGTACACCAAGCAAGGCGCATTTGAATATAAATTTACACAACCCACAACTTCGCTACCTTATCGAGCCGTGATTCTTGGTGAGATAAGGCGTACAGAGAGATATCTGCGCTACCATTTCCTAACTGCAAAAACAGGCTTTACACCTCAATTAGGTAACTATTTTTCAATGACTACCATTGATACCACATCGTCATCATTCATTAGCGTAGGGTTTACGGTCATCGTGGCATTAAATGATTGCAAACACCATCTTAGGAATTCGACCTAAAACATCTGGGATACACTTTTGATCTCGTATCATTATGAGCATGAAAGTTTATCCAAAAGAATTTTATGTAGTTTGAGTAGGTTTAGCAGCTTAGTCCTTACATCGCCCAAGTTTGACTTACAATGAAATTACCTGGACTCCTGGATGTTCGCAATCTAGTCCCATGCAGTCTCCAAGTGAGACGTACGGGAAATTATGTGGTTTGACTCCGACAGCTCTCAAGTTGTAAGCGAAGCTCATCTATGTAAATGACACTGAAGAGATGTTTTTGTGCACTTTCTGCTGTAGAACTATGTAGGTTGTACAATGATCCGCCAAGAATTTTCTATAGAGGCTGCTTAACTAGGACGAACTCGTTCAGCTATCAACCTCCATACATTAGGCAATTAGTCTAATTTATGAATGTTTTTGCAGGGGTACACGTTTTTCTTCGCTCTATGTTCGCTGTTCTGATGCGTCCAGCCAACTTTGTGAGGATAATCGTGCCTACGCACAACAAACTCGGCCTCCTGGTTTCGACAAACTCCTACGCTATCAAATGCGTCTTAGAGCTCTGATTCCAAATCTGCCTTCAATATCTGCTGTGCTTTTCCATATGTCGATAATGAAAATTTTCTTGGCACCAAAAGCAGCACTTTCTTGATGACAGGAATCACCAATACTGTGGGAATGTACGCGCTACAAAAGAGCGACCATAAAAACAAAGCTTTACGCTATCTCGAAAAAAATTCGATTTATACTAGCCGGGATTGAAGTCTGGTTGTTTACACTGAAAAACAACGTATTATTGGGAGTTCGAGAGTTCTAACATATATCTTTTTGAAAAATCCGAACATTTAGAGGCCCAGTGATCATGTAATTAAAGTTGCTAAAATCATGTGAGACTCTCAACAAGTTTATGTGGCTTTTTAGCATAGCAATCCTGATTTCTTCGACAACATTGTTGCAA